CTTCTATTAGATATTGTAGTTTACTTACTACTTTGCTCTTAAAACGTAAAAACAGACTTACATTTTTAGAAAAACTACTTCGGCTCAGCAGACCCGACAACAACATTTGCTTCGGCAGTCAACGTGTTTTAAATGCTTTTTTATTCATTTGTTGTTTAATTTGTATTTAGTTATTAATATTTCAAAAATGCTTATTTTTCTTATTGATTAATCTAAAATAATAATTGAAAATAGTACTGTAATTCTAAAATGATAAAAAAAAGTACAAATATGAAAACATAAATTACGACTCTACAAATGAAGTCAAATTTTATGATTAATTTCTTTTTTCTTACAAAAACATTAGCTCAGCAATATGTCATAAGTTGCATACACACAGTATGTCTATGTAAGTTGATAGCAAATAGAAAACTTTTTTATTAGGTATTCATTTTACCAAAAAAAGTAATTCTTCATAAAAATGTATGCATGGTCTAACAGAAAATGCAACCACCCGATATCAAATTTTATCAGTCGGTTTTACAAGGTTTGTCAAAAAATATAATTTTGCTCAATATAAAATACCTTTATTTTCGACAAACACTGTATACGACTGATAAAATTTGTTATCAGATGATTGAATTTTAGGTTTTAGACCATGCATAACTTTTTATGTAAAGTAACTTTTTTTCTAAAATTAATAGACCATGCAATTGTTTATGAAAAATAAGTTTTTTTCTTAAAATTCTTAAAAACGTTTTCCGTATGCCGATGCCGCCAACTTACATATAAATGAGATTAAATTAAAATAACATTGTTAATGTAAAAATATCATTTTAAACTCCGTTTAAGGCTGCGACATTTGATCCAGCGGATTTGCAACAAAGCAAGTATTCAAAACATTGTACATAGATGGCAATACCTGTACCTGTAGCTCGTATAACAATTTTATTTTTAAGCGTACTTGTTTTTATATCCAGGTTGCCAAATCTAGGTAGACAGATACCAATAAATGTTTTAGAAGAATAATATATTTTGCGATATCCAGTTTCAATTTAATAATTGCACTGTTACATGAAAAATTAATCTGTCAAAACTTGTACCTAGTTGGTAAGTAGTAAGTAGGTTAAATGTAACAAGAAGAAAAAAAAACATTAAATTTTACTTTAGAATAATATTTCAACATTTATTAACATTATTCGTATATTGTATTCACTTGTAAACTATATTTGACGGCCATAATAATAATTTTAATCCTAAAGAACCGGGTCAATTGAACTTTTCCACATCGCAATTTTTGGGTTGGAGTGAAAGGTATTTTATGGTTGGGTAGAAATTTTATTACTTTATGGTTTTTCCTAATCCGAAGGGTTTTGTTTACATTTTACCTAAAAATTTGCAAAACTTCTATAAATATAAATCGATTATTTTAGAATTTAAATAATTCCTCGATTCATTTCGGTAATAAAATAAGAATTTTTAATTTTTTATGCCTACTTATTAGGTAATCGTACCTCTAAAATGCATAATGATATTACTTAAGTAAAAATATAATTTGACAATAGCGTGATCGCTCATGCTTTTGTTGATTAGACAGAAATTGTGAAACTTAACAATCGATTGGATCGATTATTGTGAATTTCGGAACTAAGCAACTGGTATCTCTGGCAACTGACAAGACAAAAAACTCAAATGTCGAAGGATTGAAGTCTAAACGACAAAACGTAAACAGTTCGTTTTTCGTGTTTGAATTTTGGCAAATTTTTGAGTGGGTGTTGTTATTTTTTTGTGCTTTTTCGTTATTCGTGATTTTGTTACTTTTATAAGACTTCATTAGTTATAAGGATATTTAGTAGTTAGTGAATAAACTTTTACCTTATAAAATATGGGGCATCATACAAATGTCCCGAGTAGAAAGAGGAAGAGAAATAAGATGTGCAATTGGAAAGTCATGTGTTCCCAAAAGTCGTTTGGTTTCAAAGTTCTTCAAGGAATAAAAGTGTAACAAAAATTTAATGTTGAAAGATATATAAAGGATTCATTTCCAATATTTTTGACATCTGTATATTTTAGGTTGTTTTTATTGTAATATACTATAATCTTTTTTCTAATAAACTACTTTTTGTTTTATGTCTAATTATTTTTTATATTTCCTTCCACCCATGTCCTATCAATAATTATTTTTGCAATAAACAAAAATATTTCGGTATTTTTGCAAGTTTTGAATTAGTTTTTATTAAAATTGCTCATAAACCGATACAATTAACATTAATAAAACTGATTATAATAACTACTTCAAACAAACTCAAAATTAATATTGCAGAAAAATATCCACTTCATTGGCTTCAATTCTTAAAATTAGTCTTCATGACACGTATATGACATACAGTGAGTGCAAAAAGTTGGGTCCATATATATATATGACAATTTGTTTTAATATTATGACCGGAAAAAAACGTCATTTACCTCTGATTATTTAAAAAGTTGGCTACGTACGTTACCTGTCAAATTCGTAATAATTTTGAAAAATCGCTCAAATATTCTTTTTTAAACGAGACTGACAGAACTAAATCCAGTAGTCAAATTTAATATGGGTTGGTTTAAGTTTTTAAATAACCAGAGATGATGGTTTACGATGTTTTTTCCAATCGTAATATCACAAAAAAAATCACATATGGATCCAACTTATTGACACACACTGTATAAAGCAGGTTTGAGAACGTACAAAACTATATTTTTTTTAATTCTTGTCAACTAACAAAAGTGCTTGTGCCTTAAAATCTTCCCGATTTTGTCCATGGAGAAAGATTTTGTCACTCAATAAATATCTTTAAAACCATTGTAAACATACATAGAACGGCAACGTCGTATTATCATTGATTATCATATACAAGTATATTTGAGCAACGGTTCGTATTGTACTTTGAAATAATTTGACATGCCGTTTGCATTTCTAATTGGTCAACCAATAATTTGACATAAGACGTTTACTTTTCTGATTGGCAACCATTAGTTGTCGCCCAAGTTTCAATGCATACGTTAACTCAGCCTTGCATGTCGCATTGGTGGTGAACACGATGTACTAAAATGACATGATAATTAACGCGTCAATTTTAAAAATTGTGTCAAAATTTACAAATTGAAATCATGCTTTTTGTAATAATTATTAGACCGACAGCCGTCATATTGTAGGATAGTTAATAAAAAATCATAGAGAATTCATTGAAAATAATTTGCTTAATCATCCTTGCAATAAAATGTTTCAAGTTTTTAATGATAATTTGAAATTATGATTAGTTATTTTTGAATATGTGTATATTCAATTCATTCTTACAACATTTCTGTTTATAATTATAACTCAATTTCCTTGTAATTTTTCTTTATTAATCTAAAAAGCATGATTTAGTAACACGTTGTAAAATGACAAAAACGGCCGCCATTTTTAGTCCATTTCCCAGCCTTAACACAACGGTGGAATCGGTCCTAAGTAAATATACCGATGTGTCGAATTTAATCCCAAACTTTTACGTTTATACCTGTTACATCGAAAATATTTGTCAAGGTCAAGAACTCGTTTACTTATTATCGGGTAGTAGCTAGGCGTGATGAATTTGTTAATAGGGAGTTTTAGCAAACAGCCGCTAACCATCCGCTAACGTTACCTTAGGGATAGACTGTAATCTACTCCGTTCAATCTTTATGAAAAAGGTCACAATCTAAGTTTAACGTAACGTTAGCGGAAATCTTACGTACATTTGCTAAAACTCTCTATTTTTTAAACAGTTACCCTTTAAAATTAATAAAATTATTACGCCATCTGTTGAACAAAAGAACTATTAAATATGGAATATTGCTCCATCTGCTGAACAAAAGGATTCTTAATTTATGACACATAAATGACATCTATCAAAATTAGTTCATGTTACGAATATTGGGGGTGGTACTGTGGTCTTAAGATGTACAGGCTTTTAATACGCCAGTTTAGTGTGATGTCATTTTGGTTCCTTTGACATTTAATTCTAACCAAACTTTAACAAAAACATCAATAATTTTAACATGTATGTTCTTACTGTTTTAAAGTTTTTCTTCTAAATATTGTTTGCAAGTCATAAAAAATAGTTAAAAGGTATGTAATTGGCAACTAAATGATTGTATATTTGATGCACGTTATCTTCTTACTTTAGGAATATATTTATAAAAGTGAAAAGGTAAACAAAATGCACTCAAAAAATCTACTGTCACTTTAATTGTCAGTGGAATCATAATTACATCATCACTAAAATGGAATATAATTTGCCTGAAGGTATTAAATGCTATTCAAATGCAGCAATATTAAAAATAAAACTTTACTCTTGCTCACCATTGTTTTTTTCTTCTTCATGTTTTGTAAAGTTGACTTTATGTTATCATTTTATTAGTAGACAAAGGGGAGGGGAATCACATAATGACAAAAATACCCCCCTATTGACATATTTTGGAATCTTCTAATGAGTTCTATACTTAGGATGGGCCCTTTTTAAAAATCACCCTTTATGTTAAACAGTTGTTGACCATTTTATAATATTTTTCATTATAATTTATTTTATATTAAAGCTCATTTATAACAGCTATTTTGTAATTTTATTTTACATCATTCTAAGTAATTACAATAATTATAGGCATTTTCATAGAAATCTTATATGAGATTTATGTCAAGCTTAATCACCAACAATTAAAAATTCTTTAACATTAGGTCATACAGAAATTAGATCATAGTTCATTTATTCAGTATAGATTTTCACAATAACTATTTCATTGTAGACAAAAGATTCTTTGTTTTGATATGGCAAAAACGATTTTTAAATGAGTAATATCACGGGTTATTGATCAAATAATGTATTTTATCCTGTTCACTAACATTTCAAATGTATAATTAATTATTATCTGTAGTAACGATTTCTCTTTAAATATATAATAGCAATTCAACTTTTTAACAACATCCTGTTAGAATTACATTAAATTATTAATTATTGGGTACTTACCGACATTCACATCCATAGCTGCTGCAGATTTATCGGTTTTTGGATCGCTTACAAGCAGCACTTTCATATGATTCGACAGCTCCAACCCTCTATAGACCCTTTTGTCTTCATCTGATTTAATTATATTTTCATATCTTTTTAAAATGAGATGTGACTTGCCCATTTTGTCTCTGGAACTAGCTTCTTTCACAAGACCAGCTGTACTGAAAAATTACAAAATTTATTACTAGAAAAACACTTGTCTTTCCATATTTAATACCTGTATAATATAAAAGTTGGACGAAGTCGTTTGTTCGTAACTTTTTGTAAAAGAATTGCCGTGTGTCTTATGAAATACATTCGGTTTTATCGATGTATGAAAACGATTATTGAATCACTATTTTTAATAGAAAATTTAATTCAACCTGGAGAAAATATGTCAAGTTAAAATTTGACAATTTTGACAGTAGGCGTTTCGACATTGACAGTATTGACAGATTATTCTTCTTTTTTATTGTTTGTAGACATATAGTTCAATGATGTATATAGTTATATAGATTGTTCACCCATATGCAAATTTCCATTACCAATCCCTCAGTGAACAGAACCGTTCTAGCCCAAATGTGTTTTAAAATAAAATTTCATTATTAAAATATTTAAAAAAAAAAAAAACAGAATTATCGTAAATTTTACTTCATGAAGTATATTATATATAAAAACGGAAAATTACTGTTTTTTTAAAGAACCCATTGCTTTAAAAATACAGGTTTGTGGCCGAAAATATTGTCTCCAATGAATATTGAACTTCTAATAAAAAATAGTCCAAACTATTTAATTTCTTTACTGAAATTGCGTTTTCCCTAAAATGTTATGGAGAGCTTTTTTTTATGTTGTACAAACTCGCGAAATAGAAGTAAAATCAGAACCAAAAGTTTAAAAATTAATTTCATTATGCCCCTCACGTCCAAATATAATTGAGCGTCTCATTTTTATTTTGATTGATGAGTCAGTTAAAGCTATATGAATTTATGTTCTGATTAGATGGGCCTTACTAATAATATATTTGTTAACTTTGCAGGAAAATAATTTGTTTGACAAATAAAATTTTTATATTTAGAAGTTTTACCCTAATAAGATTGAAGAACTATTAAGTAAACACAATTATATTATTGAATATTGAGTAGTATACATAAAATTAATTTTCTTTACATTCACGAGCTCTCCCTGTATGGTAATAAAAAGAGGTGGGTATAATAATATCAACCTACCTATACGAAAGTTCATGACCTAACGGGTTTTGCCAAAAACGAATAGCAAAAATATGAGGTTGCTCCACATTGAGTGGTCGTTTTATTAAATTGGATTTATACAGGGATGTTCGTTTATGAAGAAAATAAAATCGTTATTTTTTGTGTTCTGTCCTAATTTGGTAAAAAGAAACACCTCGATGTCTGTAACATGCTTTTTAAGCAGATACTATTTTTTTTATTGATGTCTTCGGTTTCAACAACTTAAAGTCATTAGCTTACAATTCTGCATAGGTTATAGAGTTTTAATAATCTAATACTCTATAGTCTAGGAGTGCTAATTAAATACTCTGAACATACAGGATAGCCTAGTTTAAGCTATACAATAATTGTGTAGACAGTTACACAATTCAACAAGGAATTGCACAGGTGTTTCCTAATTTTCTCTCATTTATTTGTAACACATTTTTAATAAACTGTAAAACTTCACAAAAAGAAAACTACAGACAAAAAATTAGTTAATAGTCTGGTTGCATGAGTCATCTAGCAGTTATTAATAAGAATAGCTAATTCAAACTATGAATCTAAATAAGGACTAAGAAATCACTCGCCATTCAAAAAAAGGTGTCGTAAGAGTAAACATTATCTAATAGCGGATTTTATTTGTTGCACTAGGTGTAAGTTTTCTGCACTAATCGCATTTGATTTGTTCAGTGTAGCTCAAATATTTGACACATACTGGAGTGCAGCATATGCTTTTGACAAGTATGACAGTTCGAATACATTGTCGAGTGTCACACCAGTGCAACAAATAAAATACACTATTAAATTAATGCTGTCAGCTGTCATTGTCACCATCTGTCACTTGTAAACTATCATGTTGACAAAAATTTCAAACCAACAGTAAAAGACAGGAAAAAATCCAACTCTGACAGATTTAAAACTGGTACTCTTGTTTCTTTTTTTGACTCTAACTACTTTTGAGCCGCCCACCCTCAAATTCTTAATCCTTCTAATTGATCATTATTTTAAGTTAGATAAGTGTTGTGTTATATAGATGGACAACACTAATAAAACAAATCCTTCTCTAAACTTCTTTAATATTTCACAAAAGTCCAGAAAAAGACACAGTCGAAAATACGACATGTCACCTCCCGAGCGGGTGCCAAGAGTTAGGTTAGGACCCCCCGTGTCTCTAACCCCATTTTCGTTCAGTTTTTTTTTTTTTTCATTTCCTTATAAAGCTTTATTTGTCTAGAAGATTTCAGTTTGATATCGTTTTTTGTTTTCGTTTTCTTTTTTTTTATTTCTACTCCCCTTAACCCCCCATTTTATAAAGATTTTTTTCAAAATCAATAGGCTTCATAGAGTATGATTTTTGCTAAAAATTTCAAGTTGATATCATTTTTCGTTTTTGACTTATGCGGACAAAAAACTTGACATCTGATGGACAGACATTTTTAAAATATGTTGAGAAGGACCAATATTAAAAATTTTGTTTTCATGAAATTCAACCTATAATACTCTTCACAAACTATGTGAAAAATATAATAATGAATCTTAAATAATATACGAGTAAAATAACTAAAAACATACTATAATAAAATCTATATTATGCATAAATTCATATAATATATAATGTATAATTGTAGAATCACCCTCTATAAAAATATACTGTTACTTTTAACTGAACTTTAGCAAGTTTTTTGTATCACATCTCAACGTGTCCTAGTTTTACGTATTTTAATTAGGTATTCAATAGTGAACTATTGGAAATGTATGATATCCCACACCTTTTTTGCCCATATACGAAAAAGCAGTTGAAGATTATAATAATATGCAATAGAACATATTTTTTATTTTACATCTTACATAATTTCAATTACATGTCTTCAAGCAATTTAAATTTGTTAATAATTTACTTATAGAGTAGGTACGTTTCTTTAAAAATGAATTCCCTTTCGAAACCATCCTCCATACACACACCACTGGCTGTATAGATGCGATATCTATTTGAGGAAGTAATTAAATTATAAATTAATTAATAATTAAAACATTTCCATAAAAAAATTACTTAATTTAGTGTTTTTAACTAGAGTTTGCGTTAAATGATATTAAAATGTTTAATGAAGCGAAAAACAAGGGCATTTAGATAGCCTTAGTAAATAAATAAGAAGAGTAGTAAAAAAATATTCTACATAGGTTTATTTTTAAACATTTTAATTATTTTCATTAATATTATGACCTAATTTATTTATACTATACTAATTTATATGTATAATTTATATTAACTATATTGATTTGCTCACAGCGATGTCTCAACTATCACTGTCTTAATATAACAGCAAAATAGCCTATTTGTATAAAAATTTGGCTAATCCAAATGTTCTCGAAATTAAATTAAATGAAAAAAAAACTGTCTAGCCTGGCAGCAAATCCAAAAGGGGATCATCAGGACATCGAGTTGGACCGAAATACCAATTTTAAGCATTATTCTAATTTTTCACAGGTACATCTATTCTATTTCCTAACGTATCAAGTAATTATTCAAAAAATAGGAACTTTGAAACAACAAAAAATCTTTCCTACCTTTTATCAGATTTTTTTTCGCAAAAAAGGACCTTGTATATTTATGTTGGCATTCAGAAATGTTTCCGCGAACAAAACTTTAAACAAAACGACTACTCTAAATTTGTTGCACTTTTGATGTGATTTACATTTGATAAATATTGGTTTGTTTATAGAAGTTCTCATTGTGAGAATTTATGAAAGGTATTATGAATACAAACGAGCTAAATTATAAACATCAAATCGGGCACGGTGCTCGATTTAGTTCATTATAATTATTTACATTTCACGGATTAGTAAACAAAGATCTAAATTATAATATACATCTCAATTTATTTAAATTATACTAGTAATTAAATTTTGTGTAGGTATAACTAACTTTATATTTTTTTATAAAAAAAATAGGAATATTGTTTTCGTTTAAATTAGGCCGATAAAGATGAAAATGTATTAAATGCAGCAATTTAATTATTAAATAATTCATAATAATAAATAATAATATTAATAACAGCACTAAATTTCTCACTATGTTAAGAAAGTACCCCTGACTGTATAAATACATCCCTTATATAGTTTATTTTAATTTTTTTATGGCCCCAATATAACATCATAAACCAGTGACGGAGAATTTATAAAATAAAATGTTTAGCTTTATTTGTTCCAAAATAAAACCTTCGTTTTTTTTTCTAAAATATTCTAGACATTTTAATCAAAAGAAATAAGGTAAGTATGTAATCTCTACAGGTAGAAAATATTTACAATTCAAGATCAATTTAAGTAGCCCTCAACTTTGTTAGAAAGGATTAAAATTTTCTAATCGGTAGAAAGTGTTATGCAGATTGTAAATTATTTTAGTTAGGATTTACATTTCTGTTGTGATTGTTAGTTCTGTAATAATAGGCAATAAAAAACGATATTGATCAAGTGAATTTGTGCAATAAAAATAGCACAAACGTCTAATTATGCTCCTGTGAAAGTAAAGTGCAATTTAACCGTGCATATGAAAACTTTAGTGTTAAATGTACATGACGCTCTTGTACATGAACATTTCAATATTACTGTTCGGAGTATACAATCTGTTCGCTATACTTACGCAGGTTTCGGATTAAAAATTTTATGAGTATTTCCAGGTAAGTACCCGAAAGTTTGACCTGTTCTTTGGGGAAATATCAACTGGTTAAATGAAATGAAAAATAATGTACAACTTTTTAATTAAATAATAATGGAGAATCTTTTGTATAATTGAGAGCAGAATTAAACTTCTTCATTAATGGAGTCTAATGTGGCTATTATAAACCTAATAATAATTTTATATTACACTTCACACATAAAATATGGTCTATGTATAATAAGAGGGTTATTTAGTTCAAATAAAATATTTTCTAACATAAAAATTTGTCATCACCATT